ATACTTACCTATCGACATTCGCAAGTACTTGCTTACTTATTACTTACGAATTAGCAAACCGGACATTAATTATGTTTGTTTTAGATGAAAATTAATGCATGTGGGTATTGGAGTTAACGACACGTTAGTACAATAATGGCTATAAGTCTCGATTAAACGTAAATGTCTAACAACTAAATATAAAGAAGTGCACAAAACAACTTATAGAAAGACAAATCCTTCCAAACCAATGTAAATACGACAAGCTTTAAGTTAATGAAATATGGTAAAGAAGTAAACATTTATTGAAATTTTCTGTCGTTGTATATTATCAAAACGTTCTCTGATTGAGTTAATGTCAATGCACAAAAATGTTCCTCTGTTAGTTAACTATGAGAGATTAAGCACGTTGATCTAAGTTCAACCTTTAGGAGGTATACATGATTATATATAATTCAGGTTAGAGAATTTTTAATTCTTACACTGTGGAGATTCGAACTCAGGTCCGTGGGTAAACAGCACCCATCGCCATGCTTGCACACACCAATCCATATGCCATCACGACTAAGCACGCATCACAAAACAATGATGCGACTGAATCGTGTCTGCTACGCACTATGGTATATAACACTGATTCAGTCGCATCATTTTTTTTTGATGATGCTTGCTTAGTCGTGATGGAATATGGCCTATTTTATGCAGGTAAGGTGATGGGTGCCGTTTACCCGCTGAACTTGGTTCAAATCTCCATAGAGTATATAAATATAAAGAACTGTAAGCCAAGCTAAAATCTTCATGAAGAAAAACAAGAACACGAAAAAAACTTAATAGTGCAAAACTACAAAACTCCTAAATTATAAGATAACTGGTAGCAATGACGAAGAGTTTTTTCCGGTGGCAATTTATCTTAAAGTTTGTTAAAATGAGTTCGTATTTACTATAATAATCCAAGATCTTCTTTGATACAACCACATAAATTTTGGCAGTTTCTAAGAATTCAAAAATTCATGGCTTTCAGCTTCATTAGGAGATTGAAAAAACAATGCAATGACTGAAAATAGTGATGTGTGAACACTCCTCCATTGACAAAAATAGCGTATGCATTAATTTTAGGGTCAACTTACCATTCGAGAGAGCAAAAGACAAATATGGAAATCCTCTCTCAAATATAGACTATGTTTGGGAATCGTTACGTAATAACAATGGCAAAAACAAAAGTGCTGCATGACATATGTTAATAGGTCCGCTAAAATAATCTTTACCTAATCCTAAATTATTCTTTGCCAGAGGACAGTGTTGAATCCTTCTACATGTCAAAAAGTGAAAGGAAGGCTTTACAATTTTTAGATGCTAAATCTGCTGATTACAAAAACAAAATTTTACATTTAGAAGACAAAAAAAATTGGTCGAGTTTCTGACACGTTGCCAATAAAAGTTTAGAAACTTCTTGCTATCCTTAGAAACTTATGCAAAACAAATCCATCCTTTTGAGTGTAATATAACCACTCCAAGCTCTTTTGGCAACTGTACGATATGGATATCACATGAAACATTGTGCTGGAGTATTCAGACACACAAAATATTATTAGAAAATCAATGCAGATTCATACCCACGAGACGCACTTTGAACCTCTCGCCAAAGCTGAAACATTAGCCAGGCAACCTTTTATAAATAAGAAAAACAAATAATATCGATTATTCTATTGTTTCTTATGTTAGAGACGTCTACAATCTTCGGATCAACTTTTGCAAAATCATTGACTTTGAAACTTATACATAATTTGCGATTTAAGGCAGTAAACGATATCGATTATTTTAGTTTTTCTTACATTTTACAGAAGAATATTCATGTACTGCACAAAGTATAATCTACTAGATATGGATCTTAATAGACGCCTACAATCTTTGCATCAATTGTTGTATAATAATTGATTCTGTAAATGATACATGATTTTAAGACAGGTATGACAGTTCTGAAACTTATATTATCAAACTATCAGTCACTCCTTCCAACATTGAACAATTTAGCAAAGTCAAATGCCTTAAAACCAGGAATGACAGATCATTAGACACTGGCGACCCTGCAATATATTTGAGATCAATACATAGCATTGTGCACATATGTTTTAAAGTGCTCAAAAATGTCCATCAGAAAGAAAGTTCATATTTGCGAAAAATAAACTTGTTTGAATGGGGGGAGGGTTTTGACAAATGCGCAAAATTGACTGTGACCCAAAGCCCCATGTTAAAGATTGTCACATCCCTGTTGTTGTTGGGGTTGTGACATTTGGATATATTCTGGTCCGAAGCTAACATTTGGAGATCATGCTATAAATCACGTAATCAGAAATATAAAATGGACTGAATTTCTTACAAGTCGTAGCAAACACATGCTGTAGAGCAGATCGGAAAATTTTCCATTGTCTATGCATGATTGTAGTTAAATTCACATTTCAACTTCCCATGGAACGATTTTGTCTCGGAGCATTTATAAAATCTTGCCGCCTTATTGTTGTGACAAATGAACTATCATGAAAGATTTGGCATGCAGTACATGCAAGCACGCTTATGACGTCGCCTTTTGGTCCAAATAACAAACCTTGCTCACTTCAAAGCTGCAAAACTTCGTCTTGCTAATAATATATGATTCTACATTTCCTATTCACCACCATGGTTATTAAAAATCACAAAAATATTTATATTTGCCAATTCAAAAAATCCTTTACAAATCCTCTCATCTTTTGTAGCAAATTTCATAAACTTAGAACCTAACTGTTTACATATGGTTCGAGAGATGGAAACAACGCTGCATCTGCTATTGCAGCACTCTAAGCTACTGTCTAAGGTCGATTTCCGATCAGCTTCTGTTATTAATGCTCAAATCAATACCATACTCGAGTGATTAAATTATATCGACACCTCTCGAACATAGAACAAAGAGCACATAAATCTATTTTAAAAATTGTTGTTTAGTCACCCGTTTCTCAGTGAAAAATTCTCCAAAGTAACTTCAGAAGCAATCTAATAATTTACGCTTTCAATCTCCTTGGCAAAATATCTGAAGTGAAAAGTCCACATAATTTGTTACATTAAATTCAGTGTTGGTATATGGTGTTGTTAATATGGAAATAAAATTGAGATGGGTTGGTAATTTATTGCACGCGTATAAAAAATGCACATTTAATTCTTTACTTCGTGCATACCTCCCGAAGGATCGATCTCGACAGTCATCCTTTAGCAGTGTCTACGTATAGTTGGTCATATTCTTATGAAGTGCTTTCATTTCCAACCTATGACATACACATTTGTGATATCTAATTAATGAAGAAACCTTTGTATAATGTATCACCAAACAAAATATTGGACCTTTATAACATATTGTAATTTTCGTATTTTCAAGATTGTGTCTATTTTACCTGTATACGTTACTAAGAATCCTTATATAGCTTTAGGATTCACGATTTAGGATTTAGGATTCAGGACTACGTATTTCCTTTATTTGAAATGGTTAATGTTCCACAAGATTTTAATACACATTTTTTTTTTAAAAAAAATATGTTCCGCCATAATTTTTGCTCAGACTATATTAATGCTGAATTCGAATATGGTATATATATATATATATATATATATATATATATATATATATATATATATATATATATATATATATATATATATAGGTATATATATATATATACCTGCTAGCTTACGTAATAATGCAATATCCTCTGCAACATAAGATAAATACTAGTCCAGAATGCAATTTAACTATGATAAATGTATTACAAATGAGTCCATATATTTACAAGATAATAAACAAATATTCATGTATGTTTTTTATCGAGAGCAATTTTATAATGTGCGCATGCCCTAAGAAAGGATATTGTTTCAATTTGGGTTGATATGTCTCCTTGTGGCAAAGTTGATAAAGAAAAAAAGGATATCATTTCAAAGAAAGACTCACAAGAAATGTTATCAAATGTACCGTATTTGTACAATATCTAACCAAATACATGGAAAATGTAATTTTCTATTGAACAGAGGAATCACTAGATCGTTAACTACAGAAATAGCAGAGCTAAATTTAGAAACACAAGGCTTCCTGATACCTGGTCATTATCTTTTCATTTACAATAACGTACAGTTTTTATTAACTGTATCATAATAAAGCGACTATTTTATTGGTAAATACAGCAATCTATAATTGCTAAGCTTCAAGATATTTTCATCGCTACATTATAATAATTTTAGTTCTTTTAGTCACACCTACAAAAACACTTGCCACTAAAAAGTAGTTAAAACGTGCGAGTCCGCACCGATTTCCTTGCTTGCATCCATGGACGTTCATACGGAGTACACATCAATCAAAATTTGATACATTGTAAGGGAAGAATTGTGATCTCTTGTTATTCTAACATAAATACCAAACAACAAAATCAGATGAAAATAAGTCAATGGGAAATATCTGTTAATTCTATATTACAATCATCTTCACTTCACAGTGAAGAAAAGATTGAACATTGACGTATTATTGATGATTTAGCTAAGATGTTCCAATGACTAGAGAATGGGGGCCTCGAGTGGCCGAGTGGTCTAAAGCGCTGTCCGTTACGGATCACTGCTATCTCACCTCTGCGTGAGTTCGAGTCTAGGATTCGGCGAATGTGGATATGTGAGAAAGCTTGCCAGTAGCTTCTCGTGGGTCGGTGGTTCTTTTTGGTGATTTCTCGGTTTCTTCCTCCACCATTAATACTGGCTGCCATGAATAGCCTATCGTGTGCTGACAAATGGCCTTAAGCCCAACAACAACAACAACCAATGACTAGAGATGCGAGCAACACGAGAAGATTATACTGATACTGAAAAGAGAATACTGGCATTGTCAGCAAGGCTCATGACCGATGGTATACAAATTAAAAGGGTTTATGAAACGAGAAACCCATATCTATATAGAGCAAAAGATGATATCGTTCTATATTAGTCAAAACCTCATTTCTCGTCATTAAAAGTAAGCCACCGCTCCGGTGGCCAAGTGGTTAGAGCGTCCGCCTCGAATACGGGAGGTCGTGGGTTCGACCCCCGGTCGCATCATGACAAAGACTTACAAAAATTGTACTAATAGCTGAATAGCTTGGCGCTCAGCATTAAGAGGTTAATGTTAGGACTGGTCGACCTGGTTTCAGAATAAAGTGACTGGGTGGGACATCATGCTTCATGTCTGCGGCATGAATCCCCAGCGCTTGACATCGCTATAAACTGCCACACTGCAGACATCGTAGCTATATGACTGAAAAATTGTTAAAATTACCTTAAAAATCATAATCTCATCACCTAAAATCACATTGAAGTGAGTCAAAACAAAGGACTTTTATAATATTGACAAGAGCTGATATGGAAAAAGCAGAGAGTGACTTAGAAGGACAGGCAAACTCAATCTTAGAGGCAGCATACACGTTCATTTGGACATGAATATAGGCGACAATAAATTTACAGTGGCTTGTCTAAGCACTAACAGTTTCATCCTAGCTTAAATAGTGATCACAATCAAATGTTTGAGATTATAGGGACGGATAGTCGGACCATTTATTTGGTAAAGATATTTGTTTAATATTGAAATTAGGTCTGGTAATACTTGGAGAAAACAAATGAATTCGTACGGAAGCAATTTCATTAAACGAATTGTTTACATGACACATCCTAACCGCAATATTTGTTTCGTGATGAATTTGATATCATAGATAATCGTCATCAAAGAAAACATACTAACCCCAGAAATTTTTTATGACTATGCATATATCTATGTTCTAAAATTTCCGTATAAACCTATGCATAAAAATAATACAAATTGGAAAAGAAACTGGAAATGTAATTGATGTGTCTGATAGGATAGCCATAAGTCTGTGACCATGTATCAAACTAGGAGAATTGAAGCCTAAAGCATGAAATAACAATATTTCTTGCCGTTTTGTCATTTCAGTAAAGTAGAACAATCGTCATAAGAAACTACGCATATCCAGATATGAAATTTGAAATTCTTTTTGCTTGAAATATCCTTTGAAGCTAAAAACAAATGGAAGATTCTTCGGCACTATGACATTGCATGATTCGCTTTCATTAATAAATGTTTGCATTGCCTTTGTTTGATTGAGATGGATAGTAAAATATTGCATTGAAAATGATAAGTCACTTTGTAAAATAATCGTTTCTCTCTTGATTATGCAAAGGCAGACAAAATCTTTGTTGCACGAATCGAAGATGTCACGTCTATAATTATTTATCTTATGAATCGGATACTCGTGTGAGTTTGTATGCTTGTGTATCTTATCAATGGGATACTCGTATGAGTTTTTAAGATTGTGTATCTTATGAATCGGATATTCGTGTGAGTTTGTATGCTTGTGTATCTTATCAATGGGATACTCGTATGAGTTTTTAAGATTGTGTATCTTATGAATCGGATACTCGTGTGAGTTTAATGGAATAAAGATTTTATGACACAAAACTGTGACATATATTGAGAGAGTGAGAAACAACAGTGTATTATAGCAGAATCTTTAATATTAGACATTAAAATTAACGATGCTGAGTAAAACAAATACAAGGTATTTTCCTTTCCCGCCAAATATCAGAATGACTACCACAGGTGAACCGTCTGAAACATAAATTTGGCGACAAACAGTATAAACTTATACAATATGGCCCAATGAGAATATTACTTCAAACGAAAATAATAACTGAATTCTAAAAATCCGTTAATCCGTGTCGGAAAAGTGCAGTGGCCAGTTAAACGTAATATCAGTGATTTCTAGGGATAAAATATTTTTAAAAATCTTCAAAATTATAGTCGGTCACAGTAAAGAACCTATTTACCGGTTGCTTATGAAGAACACTTGTATATGAGAGAGAGAGAGAGAGAGAGAGAGAGAGAGAGAGAGAGAGAGAGAGAGAGAGAGAGAGAGATGATTCAAATACTGAAGCATTAATATCAGTATTTGAAAACACAATTTTTCTGAGACTTCCCATCCAATTTTCCATATCAAATAAATACTGCAATAAAAGGAACGTGTCAACAATAACAGATGTTGATAAAATACTAGTGACAACTAAAATTGTAATATATTTAGGACCAACGTACATGGCAATATGATATATAACTTGTTGCACGTTAATATTTGCAAAGATAAGGGTAAAAGGTGTTCTGCAGACATGGCACAAAACGGGACACATCCTTTACTCGAACTAAATATAATTTGTCGCTAGTTTTCGATTAACTTCTGCAAATTATAAGAATTATAAGAAAATGTTTTACCTCCATAACATTAGAAGTCGTCTAAGACGTTGCAAGTATTAAGTAAAATACTTTAAATGGCGACAATTTAAATAAGCCTAGGAGATGAAGAGGCAAACTCATCCAACACAATACCTTCCAAAATAATTTATTCATCTTTCCCGAGCATTTGTTTCAAAATATTTCAAAAGTGGTAAATTTATAATTGGTCATTAGCACGCTTCACCTGGCGTCTGATCCTCTTTTTGTTTAATAAGGCCATGTATTTCAGCATAATTCAGGATTAGACTATAATCCAAACGCTGATTTCAGTTTTGTACAATATGAAGTCCCTGTTAGCAATTTGTATCACCTTTAAAGATTTTGGAAGTAGTCTAGCTGGGAATGACTTTCTTTTAATAGTATTGCTTTTCATATGTCTGTATGTTAGCATGTATGTATGTATGTATGTATGTATGTATGTATGTATGTATGTATGTATGTATGTATGTATGTATGATGTATTATATGTATGGCATAGACGGATGGATGGATGTATATATATATATATATATATATATATATATATATATATATATATATATATATATATATGCAATAAACTGACGACGAACAGTACGAAACTAGTAACTAACTAGCCTAAGCGCTTTCGACTCTTAATGAGTCTTTTTCAAAGGCAAATACAAAACATATATACAATAAACAAATAAACACAAAAACGTTGTGTTTGTAAACCTCTACATGGCTGTCTTCACATGTGCTAAAACTATAAATACAACCAGCTTGTATAGACTAGATGCGGAAACTGAAAACGTTGCATAATTCCCTAAAAGTCTACAAGCCAAAGCGACATCTATTTTTACTTTTTGTACATATGTAACGCAGATTATATCCCGGATATTTGATTCTATACCGGTTATTCTTATAGTAAAAATTGAAGGATAATAAGAAGATTTAGAAAATGTTAAATTCTACTAGTGCATAGTTTTCATTTTCTAGTCTTCTTGGTTTAGACCGCTTGGTTTCAATGTTCTAAGGCGGCGTATCCAGTATGATTCCTTTTCCTTCCTGGTTTCGGAACTCCAGCTGTGGTTGTTAGCAATAGCGATAAGTATTATATCACTGAAAGTGTGGCCTGGGGAGGAGAAGTGTTCTGCGACCGGGCTTCTGTACAGCATTTTTGTCATCCAATCAGATCTATGAAGGTTTATCCTTTTGTGTAGCTTTTCAGTTTCTCCGACGTACTGAAGGCCACATATTTTACATGTGATGAGATAAATCACATTCTCTGTTTTGCACGTTTTGTTTGGACCATGTATGTTTAGATTTTCTTTAGTCACTGTGCTAGTGAATGTCTTGGTCTCTATCATATGTTGACAGGTTTTGCATTTATTATCGCCACAGGGTCCAGATTGACTAGGTTGGTTTTGACTAGCGATTGGCGTTAGCTTTGCCCTGACTAGGATGTCCTTTAGGTTTTTTGGTCTCCGGTAAGCTACTACAGGTTTGTTCGGAAGTATTAGGTTTAGTATGTCTGACGATTGCACGGTTGGCCAGTGGTTTGCGATGATTTTACCTACTTTGGGATTGTCTGGGTGATAGGTCAGAATAAATGGTATCCTATCAACCTTTTCTTTCTGTCCATATCTGAGTAGGTCATCACGGTTTGCTTGTTTGGCCCTTTGGATTGCCTCCGCAATCAGGTCTTTGTCGTAGCCTCGGTAAATTAAATGTTTAGCCAGCTCTTCAGACCTTTCTAGGAATCTTTCATCGTCGGAGCAAATTCTGCGTATCCTCAGTGCCTGGCTATACGGAATGTTTTTAATGCAGTGTTTTGGATGACAGCTGGTTGGGAGGAGATACTGGTGTTTGTCGGTTGGTTTCGAGTAGATGTCTGTGTGTAATTTGTTTTCCACCAGTCTGGTTGTTGTGTCCAGGAAAACATGGTTTGAGTTGGAAATTTCTGCCGTGAATTTTATTGAAGGATGGAAGTTGTTTGCCTTTGATATGAAGTCATCCAGACTTTCTCTGCCATACTGCCACTTCATTTCTATATCATCGATAAAGCGTACCCACTGGTATGGTGTACGCTCAACCGATGCTAAGAGCTGACCCTCAAGTTTTCCCATGAAAATGTTAGCATACGAAGGGGCCATTTTAGTACCCATTGCAGTTCCATTGATTTGTAGGTAGTTTTCTTCATTAAATTCAAAGTTGTTGAGTTTTAGGACAAGCTCCAGGAGTTGGATTAAGAAGTGTGTGGGTGGATTGTTTACAGTTCTTGTTTCCCATGCTTCGCTACATGCCTGTAACCCTTCGTTGTGCGGTATGTTGGTGTACAAAGATGTGACGTCTAAGGAAGCAAGTAATGTATCTGGCAGTAATGGTTCACTGGCTTTGCTTTTTATGAGATAATCTGTCGTGTCTTGAAGATATGATGGTAATTTGTGGACATGTGGTCTTATAAAATGATCTAAAGATTCTAATATCCTTTCTGTGGGGTGCCCGTTACCTGAGATTATAGGTCTGCCAGGGTTTCCTTGTTTGTGGATTTTGGGTAGAAGATAAAATCTACCTGCTCTTGGGTTTTCTGGGCTTAAGTAGTTTTTCGTTTGCTGATCTATGTGTCCGCTTTTGTACGCCTCGTCAATAACATTAGTGATGATTTTTGCATATTCCAGCGTTGGATCATGGTCCAGTTTTTGGTAGAACCTAGCGTCACTTAGTTGTCTACTTGCTTCACTAATGTAGTCTTCCCTATTCATAACGACAAAAGCGGAACCCTTATCAGCAGGCTTAAATA